TACGTAACCTAAACATCTATACCCCCATAATATGCTGAAATAAAAAAAAAGAAAAGAAAAAAAACAATACTTATAACTTGTTGTAAAGTGTCACTTAAACTAGCAGCTTTAGCACAGAGATTTTGCTGATGCAAGATACAATGAAAAGAAATGAGAGCATCTGGATCGTTAATATTTTTTTTTAATCTGTGCAATAAACCCTTCATGTTTTCCTGTCATGGAAGGTGCGCCATCTGTACATACACTCACTAAATTTACCAAATTCAGTCCAACTTCACAACATTTATTTTGAAAGTTGTTGAAGATATCTATTCAGCATATTTTGTTCACAAGAGTGCCCAAAGCAAGTAACTCTACATAGCAAAGAAAATCTTCTGTTATGACCCAAACGAAGTATAAAACCTGTGCTGAGTCAATAGTATCAGTTGATTCATCCAAAATGATTGAATAATATGTATTTTCCTTTTGAAATATTGCATGAAATTGTTCTGTTAAGTTGAAGGCTAATTCATACTGCTGATCCATTATGGTTCTCTTTGAAAGGGGCAGTTGTTTATACTTTGAAACATTATCGGGGTCTAAGCATCCTACAGTTTCGATGATGCATTCTTTCACAATTTCTACATCACTGAATGGCTTCCCTTTTTTCCCCTAGTACATGAGCTACTTTATAAGTTGCTTCAGTGGTGTTATTTCCAGATCCTATTGCTGATTGAAAGAATTGTCTTTGCTTTTACTTTTCATCTTTTAATTTCTACAGTACGACCTTTTGTGCCTCTCCCTCTAATTTAAAATATTTGTGGTCTTTATGAGTGTTATAATGCTCTTAAGCATTGAATTTGTTTAATGTTGATATTTCAGTATCACAAAGCAAGGAAATGATCTTATATTTAGCAGAACAAGATAATATTGCAATTCCCAATCCTCATTAAAAAATCTGTTTTCTTCCTTCAGCATTCTCTTGGTCTTCTTTGACATGATGGGCTGTTAAGCAGACAGAATTAAAAAAATACTGTCAAGCTGTGCAATTATTCAACAAATTCTGCTTCAAAGAAAAACACAGTGCACCGTTGTCAAAAGCTGATAACAGAGCAGCATACTCAACTCCCATAAATTCTAGCCAACGAGCCTCATGTAGCAGTGGTACCAGTCAGGCAGGGGAAGTTAGAACTAAATCATGAGTGTAGCAGCCATCAATTTTGCCCTTATGGCTTACTAATGTTCTAATTGTACTGGTCAATTTGGAAGGATTATTTCATCAAAACTTATTTTATTCTTTGGTATTTTAAATATA